CAGAAAAGGTCAGAACTAATCAACAGGAAAGGTGTAGTGTTTCACCAAGACAACGCGAGACCTCACACAAGTTTGGTCACTCGCCAAAAGCTTTTACAGCTTGAATGGGATACAATGCTACACCCACCATATTCTCCAGACCTGGCACCATCGGATTATTATTTGTTCCGGTCACTCCAAAATTTTTTAGACGGTAAAACCTTCACCTCAAATGAGGAGGTCAAAAACCTCCTCGATCAGTTTTTTGCCAGCAAAGACCAAAAATTTTATGAGCGTGGAATTATGCTACTACCAGAAAGATGGCAAAAGGTGTTGGACCAGAACGGTCAATATATAATTTAATAAAGTATTTGTTTATTATACGAAAACTGTCTTTCATTTCCACAAAAAAAAAACGAAATGACTTCCCGAACAACCCTATAAAACTGGCTGTGATTTCTACTCATTATATTTGTTGTTTTTAATATCAATTTCTCTAAAAATTCGGATTTACTCGTAAGCTACCGCAATAAACAAAAAACAACAACAAAATGGCAGATTCCATCTTCTCCACGCTTTTTGTATTCGACTTTAAAATCTCATTTTTCTTCCAACAAGTTAGAACGAAAATTCTTATCACTTTAGAATACAATACCGAAACAATTTAGAGCGCAATTTTCCCGAGAAACGTTTTGCATAAATGACAATGTCGAAAGTTCGAAACAAAAACTGATAAAGGGAAGGGGAGCGTGAAAGATTTATAGAAAAGTTTATTTCATGGAATTAAACCAACTTCAAACAACAGTCATTATTTTCTTTTGTTTATATAAAAATCCACATTCACAAATAACGTCCTGATGAATTCATAAATCGGATTTTCTTTCAGGATTCGTTGAAAAACGGAAATTTATTTATAATACATCAAAAGTACTTATTAAAGAAGCATCAGATGATGAACAAAATTTGTTGAGAACATGCTGTAGCAGGTAGGTACCAGTTTTATACCAGAATTCAGGATCTAGTTAAAAGGAAGATTGTGTTTAAAATAATTGAATTATATCAGAAGTAATACGAAAATTCTTCTTTAAAAAAGTATTCTAGAAGAACATAGAAAATTGTAGATTAAATGACAGGTTTCAGTTAAAAACTAAAGTTTACTTACAATCAAATTAAACTATTAATTTCCATTCTCTCCATGATATTTAGGTGTTGATTAAAAAATACAATTACGATCTTACGAACTATTTCAAGTAAAAAAGGAATCTATTTAAAAATTCGCCCACGTTTCGCCCGTAGATTCGAGGCTTCCTCGACGTAATTGTAAAGTTACTTTAAAAATTGTGACTTTCGAATTGGTAGGGAATTTCTTCAACTTGCTAAAGACTGAAAAGGCCCTATAGCAACACCAGTGTATTGGATTCCTTGCACGTATGGAAAAGCTTACATAGAAACTACAAAACGTTGCATCAACACAAGAATAAATGAACACAAATCAAATTATTGTCTAGAACACACCAACAAATTCGCACTTTAAATACCATAAACTACATAATCAGATTCGAAGACGCTGATGTTTTGGTTTTGGTCATCAAATTATCGTATTATTCCAAAAGATACAGTGGAGATGCAAAAACAGATTAGCAGTTTTAACAGAATAGAAGAACCACTATTAAGAATTTACTATAGTTAGAACGATCAAAATTGGCAAAATCCGCTTTATAACTGCCTGGTTGAAATTATATGTTTTAATAAACGTCTTCACTTTTCTAAATTCCTGAGAATGTTGAACTTTCCTTAAATTCTGCTTGTCAGTATCTCTTTCTGTTACACATTAATTGATGTAACGTTATTCCTTTTTCTTTATTAGTGTCCGCTGCAATTCCTACATGACATCTCTTTTCTATGTTCTATGTAGACGTTCTATCAGCAATCGCCCTAGTCTAGCTAGCAAGTTGAAAGAAGAATGTAAATGCGAAAGTTTTATTGCGGACTATACCAATTTTGAACGTCTCAACTATTCTGGCCCTAAAAGCCTGCACAAAATCAATCCTCTCTTAAACAAGCCAACTGCTTGTGTCGGCGAAACATCAACAAGAAGCGACGACTATTAGCACATTAGACAACGGCCGCGAAAGCCTTACCGTAAAACTGCATTTTCTCTGCAGATAAATTAATAGTCCATAAAACATTCTATTCAAATTCATTTAGTCTTTAATGTTTAAATCGTATGGTAATGAATTTTGATTTGTACACATAAAAGATGGCAGTATTTTCTTGTTCTTCATATTTGCAATACGAAACGAACCTACGAAAAAAAGTACAAACAAATGCTATGCTTACCGAATTAGTTGACGGAAACATCCTGCATCAGAATTGCAGATGTGAAGTGCGCACGTGTGCTACTGACTTTTTTTGTTCATATCCTCCTGTTCAGCTGGCATGAAGGAAAACAAAAAGTTTTAATAAAAGTCCTGGTTCTTGACTTAACGTTAGATACCGCATGTTGTTTAAAGTAGACCACCAACGCTTTCGTCTGGCATAGCATCGTAATAGACGATCGAAAAACAAAAACTTGATGTTATGTTATAAATATTCGTTCCGAAAATTGAATTTCAGAATTGTTCCTGTACCTATAAGGCTTTTAAGTCTATCAAATTGCCTGCCGAAGCTTTCTTTCCAAACAAATTTTAATTAAAAAAGCTTATTTTATTTGTTGTCATTACTGAAGTATATTTTTTTTGTTTATCCAATGGAGGAAAATTAATTAAATACCTATGCATAAATTTCAGGAGTAGATAAAATTAAAAAAATTGAATACTTACTTATTTTCAGTGGCACCTTTTGTAAGGGTGAATAAATACAGAGCAAGTTCCCAATAACGAAATTCAATTCCTAAACATACGACAAAAATTCAAAGGATGATTTTTGAGGTATTTTAATAAAGAAAAGCTCCAATAAAGGCACTTATAGGAACTCAATGTAATATTGCATACATTTTTACATGTTTTTCACCTTTTGGTGATCCCAAACCACTATTTAAAAGATCTTTGTTTTTGTACAAATTTTTCGCAATCTAAACATTGTTTTTTATTTACATCGAATACGAATTTCATTTTTCTCCTTGTGATATCTACAAACAGCAACGAAATGGCATTCAGTTTTGAAAATACAATTCTATGCTATTTGATTCCATGTTCTATGAGGTTTTCTTGAAATAAGAATAAAAACAAAAGCCTGTACATACTGATAAAAATAGCTCTTAATTATCGTAACAGTGATGATAGGCTCGTTAACATAATCGCTTTACCTCTGGGGTGCTAACATGTGCATTTATTCGAGTCAGAAATGGTGAAAGCAAAAAAACAGGAACGTAATAGAGGAATTTCTAAATGGCGTACATATACTAGAATGATAAAAAAAAGAGAGCAACTCGACGGGCGCTTAATGGCTCCATTCAAAGTGAGAGAACTGTGAGCACTCAACCTGATGTAAAACTTGCACCTGTTTTGCACTGTAATTATTCAAAGTCCAGGAATAAGTAACGTGATTAACGGGGAGCAAGTGTTCTTCTTACCCAGGTTTCATAAAATTATTAAATTTGATTTGCGTGACAAACCGTAATAACCTCTTAGAAATGCCAGACAAACCAGCATAAAAAGTCACCTGGATTCTCAAAATTTTTACGTATTTCTGTCGGATGAAAAATTGCCACCATTATTTTAACTCCAACTCAAAAACCATTAACACCACAATATTCTACACACCTTTTTTATAACATTCGTCTATTACATGTTCCAAAACTGTCAATTATTAAGTCGAAAATTTACGTGCGCTTTTTTGCATTCAAAATTTTTACGTATTTCTGCCAAATTTAGGTTTGTCGTCATTATTTCAACTCGAACTCAAAAACCATTAACACCACAACATTCTACGCACTGTTTTGTATAACATTCAACTTATACATGTTCCAAAACAACCAATTATCAAGTCGAAAATTTACGTGCCCTTTTTTGTATTCAAAATTTTTACGTATTTCTGCTAAATTAAAGTTTGTCACTATTATTTCAACTTCAACTCAAAACCCATTAACATCATGACATTCTACACACTTTTTTCTATAATATTCATCTTTCATTTATTCCAATACAAACAATATCAGGTGGAAAATTTACGTGCGCTTTTTTATTTTCAAAATTTTCACTTTACGATAGATTGGTGTTAATTGATAGGATTGAGAAAATGTGATTTGAATCTTACAGTTTCATAAAGAGTTGAATAATATATTTCCAAAAGCTTCCTTGTTTAGTATTTTCAAACCTTTAGACATGAAAAAATAATATGAATCTTGTTGATTTTGATCTCTATTAAAAAAAGTCGTTTTTTAAATAATTTTATCTTCCTTTTCATTTATTTTTGGTCAGCAAAATAATGATAATAATTTATCGTCTGAACCCTGTTCTCTCTCGTTTTCCCGGGAGTTAATATTATAAAAGATAAGCGCTATTTTCCTAAACGGAGCGGAGGGGCAGGTCAATATGCTGGCTATACTTTGGGTCGTAAAATTAATCTCGGTTGACATATGGGACTTCTTTCTCTTCGCTACCCGTATTTGAGCTGCCGGCCAAATATCATCCACTTTTTACAACGCATAATTTCCAAGTCGCTTCTCTTTTTTTCGTTACTTTTTGTGACGTCCCTTTTTTGCACCTTTTCTTTTCTTTGACACATAATAATTCTCTACCTATAAACTACATACACATTACACGAAACATCAACTCTTCATTAGATCTAAGTAAATATTTTATCTGAACATTCATTTTTCTCGTTTTATATAAAAATTATTCTTTACATTGCATAAAAATACAATTTACTACGACTTACTTTCAAATTTTGTGCAATATAATATGTATAAAATGAACAGTTATTATCTAATAAGTAGATTACTTCTAAAATATAATTCCCGCCTGTTTGTTTTAAAATTTGAGTCGTGAAATGGACATGAGTCGCCATCTAACAATCGAAGCACTAATTCATAGACGTCATTTACTAATAACCTCACATTTTGGTACTGTTTCATCTACTCTGATAATCGTTATTTTTCATCAAAAAATGATCGAAACGTGCCCTAGGAAACGAATGCTTTTAGGAATTTCACTTCTGGGAGCGTAAGTATTGTTATAACAGGTTAATTATTCAAAGAAATTTTTTAGTCTCACAATTTTAGTTCTTATTGCTGAATCTCATTGGACTGATAGGACAAATCACAAAAAACAGAATTTTGTGGTCGAGCATAACGCTACCTGCTTTGAAAAAGAGCCTTTTGAAATCGTAAAAGAATGCGAACCTTGCACTGCATTTGAAATTGCAAGCAAAACATCAGGTGTTTGTATACACACACATTACAAGGAGGTTCTCAAGTGCAAAAGTGGTGACACTGTTACAAGAAGCTGTGATAGAGTTGCTTATCTTGAAGAAAAAGCCTTTTGGAGATTTGAAGGTTTTATGTTTGTCTTTTCTGTAGTATCAACTGTATCTGTTTTTGCTCGAAGAAATGTTCTCACCAAGAGGATGATGCATAGGGTTCAAAAACAATTGGCAAATAGTGTTTAGTTATTTAAGTATCATGGATTCTCTATATATTAAAGTAAGCAGAAAGACTCAAAATGATTATTATCAAGTGAATTTGGAAACATTAATCACCATATTTGTGTACAAAGTTTGTGGGATCAGTAATGTAATTTTAAAGGTACAATTTGAAAAAGAGAGCTCCCAACCAACATTTTTAGTAGATTTTACAGATATTCAACTGCAGATTTTAAATAATGATGTCCCTTTGGTTGCTAAATATTGTGCATGGCCTGTCATCATTTCTGGCAAGAGTGTAGTAGCAGGCTTAGCAGCAGTCTGTCGTAAGATTGTTAAAAGCTGTAAAAATGAATTCAAAAAGTTGTTGGGGTTTAGGGAAGCCTGTCTCATGGCCTGCAGTGAATCATCAGTATGGACAAAGTTCTGTGAGGTAGATATTATCTCAACGGTAAAGAATTTTCTTCTGAATTTCCATGAGTACTTTCAAGACCACAAATTTTTCCCTCCAGAGGATTTAATTCGGTTTGAGTACCACATGGGGCAACCTGTTCGTGTACACAATGTCTATAAGATAGCTCGTCAGTCTAATGGAAATAGGAACATCAAAAGTGGAGTTCCAATATCAGAACTTAATGTGGAACATACGTTTGGAGAGGGTGTTGAAATGACTCTAGCTGATGTAGTACTGTTTCCCTGTTTCAAAATATTCTTTCAAATATTAGAGCCAGATATTTTAAAAAAGTATTTACCTCTTGTAATAAAATGGTATGATAATATGAATGCTCAAGAAAATTTACCACAATTTACTTTTCAAATGGACAAATTGCAAAACAAAAACGTTATTAATATATCAGACGTTTTAATTCCAAATAATATTACCAAGCAGAGCCTATATGTAAGTGATCCTACAAGATATAAGCCTCAGTCAAGGATCTACACAAAGCAAGAGGACATCGACGAAATTATAAGCCACATAATTGATTCCAAACTTAAAATAATTTCTTCTGACAAATGTTTTTATGATGATGTAAATTTCAGTTGGTCAGAAATTTCTTCTGAAGCTGCACCTTGTAGTGGAGCACTGCCAGAGAAACGAGTTTCAAGAAAAACTCAGCAACTCGAGAACTTAGCTAAAGCAGCCGTTAAATTGGCAGAAGACAAATCTAAGACCATAGTAGACTTTTGTAGTGGCAGTGGGCATTTGGGTATTGTAATTGCTGCATTATTACCACAATGTAGAGTTGTTTTAATAGAAAATAAAGAAAAGTCTTTGCAGAGAGCCATGGAGAGAGTCGAAAAGATGAACTTAGGAAACGTTACTTTCCTTCAGTGTAATTTAGATTATTTTCAAGCAAATTTTGACATTGGCCTAGCATTACATGCTTGTGGCGTAGCCACAGATTTAGTTATTCAAACTTGCATAGATCGCAAAGCAAATTTTATATGCTGCCCATGCTGCTATGGTGGGATCCATAACTGCCACCATGTATCCTATCCGAGAAGTCGCACATTTAAAGAGGCTTTGATAAAGTATCAAGACTTTTTGGTTTTAAGTCACGCAGCTGATCAGACCCACAATGATAACAGTTTTAAAACATCTCAGGGATACTTATGCATGAACATTGTGGATTCGGATAGAAAGTTTTATGCAGAAGAATGCGGTTACACTGTTCATTTAGGAAAATTAAAACCTCCAACGTGTACCCCTAAAAATAATATATTAATTGGTATCAAAGAAGAAAATGTACAAGTAAAATAACTTGAATTTTAATAAAACATATGTATGGGTATAGGATGGATTTTTATTATTTTTTTTCTAATAGACAGTCTTATGAACAAAATATGATTCTTAACAAACATCAGTAACTTTTAATAAACAAAAAATGCTTTATAATGTTTCAGAAAAGTTTTAGTAGTAAATTGTACAATTATTTGTACTGATTAAGCCTTAGTCAGAATAGTTGTAAGTTTAGAACTTTATGAAACATTATAAAGTATTTTTTCTTTATTTTCAAATTATACTCTACTCTGTTATAAGGTCTAAAAGGAGTCGAACATAAAAGAATCCTCTAAAAATAAAAACGTTTTTACTTGTGTAAATGACGTTTTGGAATAGTTTAGGAAGGTAACGTTTTCTCACCTAGAAAAAGAAAACTACTCGTTTTGAAACTATCCCATTAATTATTTAATCTCAAAAAGAAAAAATTTTTGCCGCCGTAAATTTTTGAAATTAAGTAGAACTATTGCCATCTATACAAGTCAAATCTAAGCAATACAGTATTCTACAATATCTATTACCCAAACATTGAGCTTAATAATCGAATTTTGATTTTGCGCAATGGAGTCGTTGACGTTTGTTAATGGCAGTTAGTGGCATTCTACAACAGACACCCCTTAATTACGTGTAAAAAATAATTAAAAATAAAAATGAGTACTAAAATGGAAAGAGATAAGCAAAAACAGTTGCAAGATAAGTGTCAGAGTGTATTAAACGAACTGCTAAGGGATGAAGATAATAAATACTGCGTTGACTGCGATGCTAAAGGTAGATTGAATTTTAATTATATTGTAATCAAAATAACTAAATTAAAATATTCAATTTCNTTTTAAAAAATAAAATAGTGTATATAAAACACTTTTTTTAATTTTTGGAGGGTTAATTCAATATATTAGTGAATTACTTTTAAGTGGGTAAAATTAATTCACTAATACATTAATATGAAATTATAATAAACATTAACTAATTCGAAAAACTCAGCTGGCGCAGTACTGGCGAATTAAGAAAAATTTTGTCCTAATGTTCTACTTTGATTCCCAAAAAAAACCCATGTATGCTTTAATATCTTAAATTGTCAATTTAATTTGTAAATTTAAACAACTCGATGCATGGAATTCAAAACAAAACAGCATGTTTAATTAAATCGAATTAGAAAAGCTTTATTAAAATTATTTTTTATAAGGAACTATTGTATAGATGTAGTTTGTCTTTGTTAGGACCACGATGGGCATCATGGAATTTAGGAGTATTCCTCTGCATTAGATGTGCAGGTATTCATCGTAATTTGGGGGTACACATTTCAAAAGTAAAGTCAGTCAACTTAGATGCATGGACCCCAGAACAAGTTGTGTCATTGCAACAAATGGGCAATTCAAGGGCCAGGGCTGTTTATGAAGCAAATTTGCCAGACAATTTTCGTAGGCCACATAGTGACACTAGTCTAGAATCCTTTATAAGGGCAAAGTATGAACACAAAAAATACATTGCAAGAGAATGGGTTCAACCACCTCTACCAAAAGTTAATTGGGAAAAAGAGATCGAAGAGGAAATGGAAAGACAGAAACGTAAAAAGAAAACAGTGGTTGAAAAGAAAGTCATAAGTATTGTTGAGGTTCCTCAAATACCAAAACCGAAAAGTAGCAGTCCAAAACCCGCAAGAACATCAGCAGGTAATGCAATTGATGAAAAGACTGTACAAAATACGAATGTGGATTTATTGGGAACACAAAATTCAGATGATAACTTTAGCAATTTTCTGTCAGCAACTACAAATGAAACCATTAAAGAAGACCAAAAAGACCAAGAATCATTAAAAAATGAAGAAGAAAATTTCTTCAATCAAATAACACCAACAGAAAAGGAAAAAATTAAATTAACAAAAGACAGCATCCTGGCACTGTATGGTAGTGCTCCACCAGTAAATCCATATCAGAATCAAATCCTTTATCAACCCCAGCAGCCCTTTCCAGTTGGTGGTATGCCATCAGTAGCAATTCCTAATTTTCCTGGGTACCCCCAGACAAACATGCCGAATGGACTCGTGCAATATCCAGCGCCAACAGGGCAATACCAGCAATTTCCTGGCCAATTACAACAATACAACACCAGCACGCCGTTTCCTACTGCTTACACAGCAAATATTCCAGCTGGGCAATTCACGAACGGCCTACCACCTTCATCCAGTCAATTTGCTAATGTAAATAATGTACCAGTTATGAATGTGGCACCATTAGCTAATGTAAATTTCCCTAATCAACAACAGCAACCTGCAGTAAATCCATTCTTTGTTAATCAAGCGAATTCGGTTCAGCAGCAATTTGCAAATTTATCTTTAGGTAATAAAAATGGCACTACACCCACCCAAGTAACATCAAATCTTTTTCAGTAAATCAGTGTCTTGATTTATAGATGAGATTACTTTATAGGCCAATTTTTCGTGCTTTAATGGTATTTAAAAAAAAAATGAATGAAATCTATAAATAATTTATCAAATAATTATTTGCGGTTTCACCTTTGGTAATTTACATCAGTTGTTACCGTCCTTTAAGTAAATTTTATTAAACTTGCTTTATTTTTAATATGACGAGTACTTTTTATATGTATATTATAATAAGTTGTTATAGTATTTTATTAATATTGAAAGTAATGAACGAATGACTTTTCATTCGTTTCTTTTTGCTACGAGAATTAGACCTGTAAATTATATTAAATTGTTTTAGCAATTTTTTTTCGTACTATGTGAAGCATTAAATTATTATTCATATTACAAGTATTTAAATTGTGATACTTTATAGAATTGTGTGATTATATTGTGATTTACTTTTCCATTTATACTTATAATAATCCTCTGTTTTATTAAAATTGAAGAATGTGTTGCAAATGGAAAAGCAAATTAATATTTATAATAAAATATTTTATTCAGTAATGTTTCTTATAAGTATGTATGAGTATCAATGACTTATATTTGTGTAGGGAAATTACCAAAGGCTGTTTTCTTGGAGTTTCCTTCTTTCAAAATCAAAATTTGTTTTGTAGTTTTACTGTATGGGAAAATACCTCCTGTGTATTATATGTACACTCAAATAAATACGAAAGTATTATCTTTATTGTTTTCCTTTTTAAAGAATCTTGGAAATAGTCTATTTGTAATCGCATTTCGTTACATTTTAAATTAAATTTGCCAGATTTTAAAAAAAAAATAGATAGTAAGAGGGTCTTAGTAAAGTAGAACACTTCTTATTTGTATAACCTTATATAAATTCTATAGTTTAAGGATACGTCTATGTAATCACCATAGGTAATCACATAACCTCTTATAATCTACATTTTAAAAGCAAAGTTAAAACAGTAAAGATTACTTTAGAAAATTTTATAATGTTCCCTTTATCGCATTTATTAGTGAAAGTAAACACTGTAATTAGAAAGGTTTAGTATATCCTTGTAAAAGATAGCAGTCATGATGATATCAGATCGTATTGTAAACAGTACTTATGTGTTTCACATGCTGAATAGTTCTCAAGTTTAGCAACATTTATGGGAATTTTTATTTAAGTAATAAACCAAATAGAAGATTCCAAAGAATTGTCTTGATGAAGTTGGAGAAACCATGAAGCGTTCGTATTATTTTTTGTTTTTGCTTTGGTTTTCGTACCTTTTAGTCTCATCAGTTCTGTTGTTTACTGGTGGATTCTTGTTATCGAGAACAGCCCAGCCCTACCGATCATCATGTTCGCTTTACAAAGCAGTCGATTGTCCGTTAGAAGAAAGTGAATGTTTCTTACATCATATAGATGAATTTAAATTTATGAAATTTGATGATCAAATTTGTGTGCCTACCAAATATAAAGCAATAGTGCTTGTGATAGATGCTTTAAGATACGATTTTACTCAGTATGATGCATACTTAAATGATCCCTTACCATATCAAAACAGGCTGCCAATTATACATAGATCACTTCAAAGCGAGCCTGATAAAACTAGACTGTATAAGTTCATAGCTGATCCACCAACTACAACTTTGCAAAGGCTTAAAGCACTTACTTCAGGGACGTTACCAACATTTATAGATGCTGGCTCAAATTTTGGTACAGAAGAAATTAACGAAGACAATATTATAGATCAGGTATTACAGAGAAAAGTAGCATTTAGTTTATTATATTAACATTAGACAATTGTTAAAAATCTTTACTTTTTAGTTGACTTTGTCAGGTAAACAAGTTGTCTTTATGGGTGATGACACATGGATGGGATTGTATCCAAAAAGATTTTTGAGGGCTTATCCATTCCCTTCTTTTAATGTATTTGATTTAGATACTGTAGACAATGGAGTGAAAGAAAATTTAGATACTGAACTTAAGCAAAAAGATTGGAACCTTTTAATTGCTCATTTTCTGGGTGTAGATCATTGTGGACACAGATATGGTCCTATGCATATTGAAATGACAAGAAAATTAACAGAAATGAATGAAGTTATTGAGTAAGTACCAAATTTTGAGTATTTTACGTTTCCTTATTGATGTAATTTTCAGGAACATCATCAAGCATTTGGATAATAACACAGTCCTTTTTGTAATTGGAGATCATGGAATGACCATGAGTGGTATGTCTTGATATTCTAAAGTAAACTAGTTCTTCTCCCCTCTCAGTCACTGTGAGCTCGAAACTGTTAACACCATTGCTTCGAGTGGTCGAAATTCTCTTTTGCGAACAATTTGTTTAATCACTTTCTTTGTGTTAAAAATTGTTTGAAAAATTAAATTTAAAGGAATCATTTGTAAATAGGTATGCAACACATCGTACACTTCAGCATTGCTGATTCTAACTTTCATTTACGTGATACTACTTGGCCAGAGAATAGAGACTAGTCTCTCTTCTCTGACTTGGCCCTGTGCTGACACCACTCATAATTTTCTTTATATATAATATTAATTAAATTTGTTATTTTAATACTCTTACAGGTGATCATGGAGGTGCAAGTGATGACGAAATTCAGTCTGCTATGTTTGTTTATTCAAAGGCTCCCCTAAAAAAATCCAAATACAGTTATGGAAATGAAATTAGACAAGTTGATCTTGTGCCAACACTAGCTACAATTTTTGGAGTTCCTATACCATATTCCAATTTAGGATCTCTTGTACTAGATGCTATTCCCTTGCATTATTCAAAACACATAACTGGTCGAGATTGGCATAGTTTGGTCATTCCTTTATGGTCAAATTTAAGACAGATGGTCAAATATATTGAAGAATACTCCGAAATAAGTGACGTCTTTGATAATATTGAAATTGAAGCTATCAGGCAAAAGTTTAGCGTTATTCGAACTTTACTGAAAAAAACGGACGACGAAATGGATTTTCTAGAATTTCAAAAAGAAGCAAAAGAGATAATGGACTTTATATATTTAATTTGTGGAGAAGTATGGAGCCAATTTGATCCTCAGTTGATTTCTCAGGGGATGATATTAAATTTCACAGTTCTCTACCTTATTTATATTATCGTTGATGGCGTTCCAGCAGATAACTTAAGTTCTGTATTTCAGTATTCTTTTTTCTTAGTTTCCTTTAGAGTCGTGGCATTTGCAGTGGTCAGTGTCTACTCTTTATATGCCTTCCACTACATTCACAATTTACTATATTCGATTTATCTCATTACGGGAATTGTTTCTGTATTTTTATTAGCAATAATTGTAATTCAAAATTGGGACGCAATCACGTCAAATTGGCATCGACGTAGCCAAAATAGAACTTGGTACGATTTCTTTTATCGTCTTATAATAATTTTCCACGTTTTGGTGCCTCTGTCTAACAGTTATGTAGTTGAAGAATCGTTTGTATCTTTCTATCTTTTGATTTCTGCATTTGTAATGATAATGTTAGAATGTATATATCCAAGTGGCGATACTGCTAAAAGTAAATGGTTTCCTTTAAAATTATCCGCTTTGATTACTGCATTTTTAGCCGTGATTTTTCTACGTTTAACTCCGAATTTATGGCGTTGTCGAGAGGAGCAGTCTTGGTGTACATTGTTCAGTACCCATCACTTGCTTAAATCTGGAAACGCAGATTTAGCACAAAAATATTACGTCGCCACTTTAGTTTTATTGGCTGTATTTGTTATTTTGGGGCGAAATTGGTTACGTTCTTGTGGCAGTCTCAAAGGGACTTCTTTCACCACCTTCTCCTACCGTTATCTTCCCACAGTAATGGTGGTTTGCACAGGATCTTATTGGATTTTAGAAAAGATGCCATTAAAAAAAAAGAAGTCTATGTATTTTTCTCAGCCAAAATATTTTGCATGGTGCGTTTATATAGCTGCTTTTGAATTGATTTTCAGTGCTGTTTTGAAGCCTCTATGTGTCCAAATTATCTCTAAAAACACTAGTGGAAACAGTGAACGATTAAATTCAGTACCTCACATTTATCAGAGAATAAAGGACATGTTAAACGATGATGGAAGAAAGAATGGTATTTCAAGTGTACCAGTGGCATATGGTTTGACGACCGTCTACAGTTCACCCTTCATTGTAGTGACCATAACGGCCACACTTGTTCTTGCTCTGCTACTGGGATGTGTATCTGCAGCTGCCCTGATTCTAATGTGCCTTTTTGGGATATTCTTCTTATTTGTATCGTCCATTTTGAGGCACAGTAAAGCAACAAACACAGGTATTATAATAAATTTATTATCAAGTGAAATGTGCACAAGAGTTGGTACCATTTATGCCTTAAAATTACCTGTAAAGTGATTAAAAAAAGTTATTATTGGGCTGTTTATCTAAAAGTTGCTAATTGCTTTATATATCTAACTTTATTGCATTATCATAAAGAGTGTAAAATTTTAATCCAAATAATGTATTATTTGTGGGCAAAATTACTCTTTTATACCATGTTTAACCGTTTAACGACCTATTTTGTAATCTTTACAAGTGGATTATTATTATCATTATATGAATCAAAATTATTCTACAATTAATGATATCATAAAAGACTACTGGATATGCTGCAATGTAAAGGCAGAACTATTGGCTTTTTTTATTAGGTTTTTTATTTATAAAGTTTTCTTTTTTTTTTTTAGAAGACCTATTACATATGCCCAATTCGGTTCTACTGACGTGGATGCTAATTTCCCATTATTTCTTTTATGGAACTGGTCATCAGCCCACGTTTCCCAACATACCATGGGAGGCAGGTTTTGTGGGGACCAGTGGTAACTTTGCCACCCATGTAATTCCAGCTGTCCTTATAATTCTCAACATTTATGCAAGTCACATATTAATGGGATTCACACTGCCCCTTTTGTTTATGGCCCCTTTCTCAGTTGGGGTCAAATTTCCTCACTTTTTTGCAAAGAAACAAAGTGCAGACTTAAAGACTGGCGAAGTATTTTTTTATCAATACAACGAAAAGTTTATAAATGGCGTTTTCGTCGCATGCTGTAAATATATATTACTCCATGGAGTACAAGTAAGTTAACTCTAATATTAAATCGACCTCTTAAGAAACAACTTACACTACACTAATTAAAAAAGAAATTAGAAAAGCACATTTTAATGAAATTAAATAACACTAAATAATCAATTTATATATATATATTTAAAAACTGTTGATTCTATTACATCTTGTTGACTAAAGAAAATAACAACAATTTAATTATAAAATATTTTTTCAGGTTTTTCTTACCATGTTAGCTGCCACAGTTCACTGCCGTCATCTAATGGTTTGGAAGATTTTTGCGCCCAAATTCATATTTGAAGGTGTTTCGTTTTTTGTGACTTTAGCTTCAGTTTCACTCGGTTATTTATTTTTAACGCACATTAATTCTAAAGTTAATAAACTGTTTGAACAGGAACTTTAGCTCCTGATCTTTGCTTTTTGTTTATGTAAATGTTATGTCAGTATTAATTATATTTTATAAAAGTTGCCATTGTTTTTAAAATGAAAATAGGTTTGTAATTGTTTAAAAAATTGTATAAAAAGAAAATAATTAATTTGTAAGCTGGTGTACATATAATTGCACTATTTGTATTCAGTTAATGAGGTATTCCTTAAGAAGAATGAAGAAATCGTATTTTTTGCTTT